ATCATGTTTCTTATAATCAAAGTAAGCAATAAGCGCATTCACATCCCCATCGACGATTTCCTTTGCTTTACCTCTTTGAAGTGCATTGTAGAGGTCTTTATGTGTAAATCCAACATTATGATAGCCCCCTACCTGCTGCGTTAAATAGTTCATTACTTGTAACGTGTCAATACTGACCTCTTTCAATGTTGTTTCCTCATCGATATCAGTCTTACTTACAGCTTTATTAGAACGCATAAATGGTGTCATAGCATGTGTACACAATGCATGATTATGTTTCTGATAAAACTTACTTATAACCCAGTGATCGTTTGTATTTGTTGCTGTAACTACGACTCTAGCCTTGCATCCTGTTCTTGTGACTGGCGTATGAGCACGTTGACGATCAACAGTATTGGCTTTTGATACTCGAAACCCTTCTTTGGAACAACAAAATTCTTGTATCTTCAGATTCCCTTCCACATCAAGCCGTGTTGTTCCCTTACGTGCACTAAACTCATGTTCCCGTACGAATCCCTTGTAAAAGTACCAAGCTTGATCCCGTGAAGAGAAGAGCTGGCCAACCAATCTGTCAGATTCATCAACATTATGTGGCTTAACATTGTTTGCATCAGTATGATCCATAGCAAAAATTTTGTTGTGCAAGTTCAGTGGTCCCGGAGTTGATGGAGATGTAAGTAAAGGTTCATTCAACATGTTTTTGGTAGTGGTAGTTGAAGGGTAGGTACAACATTAAATTCGCGTGACATATTTAAGTGTGTACAATAACTACCTAAATATGTATCGATACATTTTCTAAAAGTATCGACCCAAAAAACATCAAAACCAATAATTATAATGTAATAGGTAAATTAACAATGTAACTGGCATAAATATACCGGTTAATTAGAAAACATGTCAACATAATGTATCGACACTTGTGTAATTTGTGTCGATACTTATTGTCCAGAATCAATGCCCAAACGGGGTGCACACATAAAGTGTCGATACAATTATTAAAAGTATTGATCCCAATAAAATCGAAACCGATAATTATAATGTAATATGTAAATTTACAATGTAACCGGTATAAATATATCAGTTTTATGAGAAAATAGGTCATCATAAAGCATCGACACTTATTAAATTTGTGTCGATATATTTTGTCCATAATGAATGCCAGACGGGTGCACTCATAAAGTGTCGATACATTTTTAAAAAGTATCGATCCCAAAAATATCGAAACTCATAATTATAATGTAATAGGTAATTTTGTAGTATAATCGATATATTTATACCGGTTTTATGTGAGAATAGGTCTACATAATGTGTCGACACTTTTTAATGTTGTGTAAATATTTTTTTCCAGAATGAATGCCCAAAAGGGTGAACGCATATAGTGTCGATACATTTATAAAAATGTATCGATCCAAAAAATATTGAAACCAATAATTATAATGTAATAGGTAAATTTACAATGTTACTGATATAAATATATCGGTTTACTTATAAAATAGGTCAATATAAACGCTACCTATTACATTATATAAGCGCTACCTAATATGTTATTGTACTTGATAATATTTCCGGTTAAATATATATTTTATTATGTAAGCGCTACCTATTACATTATATAAGCGTTATCTAATATGTTATTATACTTGATAATATTTCCGGTTAAATAATATAACATAACATAACCGGTCTAAATTTTAATCGGTCACTTGTTTAACCGATCACGCCGTATATTAGCCGTTTTTTAGGCTCCGCACAGCAGAAGTTCCTATGCTATTTATAATTATAAAAATGAATAACATTAAATTTTAATAATAATAAAATTAAATCAATAAAAACTAAAAGATAAAAGCTTAATAAAATTTATAATGTTGTATGTTTCATTAAAAACATATTTTTAAAAAATATTTTTAGAAAAATTTATCAAACAACGAAAAATATATTACACAGCATCATCTAAACACTAGTAAATACTTTCTAAAATTTGTTTTCCATAAACTGTAATTCATTTTATATAATTCATTTTCTAAAAAATCAATTACAATAAAATAAACAGGCCTTTAAATGTTCAAACTCAAAATTTCAAAAAACAACCGGACCTCAATTAGATTTTATGAGTAGGGGTGAGAACAACGTAACTACCGTTAAACTCACTGCATAATTTAAGTAATCAGTTTCCCTTCCTTTTGGAAGGTTTAGAAATACGTTGATTTACGGTTGATGTAAATTAAGGTTAATTATTTAATAAGATGAATTAAGCAACAAAATCAAAGTCAAAAGTGTCTTCCACCCAAAACTTCTCCGATGCCCCATGTTTAACCATGTTCCTCAATTTCCTGATAATGTGCCTAAAGTTTAGGGATTATTAGACGGATAAATACCTATAATTTTTTTCTTAAAAAATTACAATTAATTCCATTTTTATCGTAAATTATAGGTATATATTAATCTTATCTCTTGTTAATAAAATTATTAGATCAGATTATATTTTTATATGTTCGCAAGAATACAATTTAGATTAAACTATGTTTAAGATTAATTATATATTTGGATCGTTTGCGAATGAAATAAATTGGGTTAGAATTGTCGTCCTTACCTCTACAGTACTCGATATAGATTAGTCGATCAATAAATTGGATAAAGTGATTATACAAAAAAATTATATATTTGGATGAATGAGACATATGCAAAAGACTAGATTTTACATGGTTGAGTCTTCTCTATCTCAACAAATGATAAGAATAAAAATTCACTATAAACATAAAGATCACAAAAAATACAAATATATATTTTAAAATTCAGTATCCTGCCAAAACTTGGTGTATTCAAAAATACTTTTCAGGCATCCCCTACAAAATCATCTTTGTAACATAAATTCCAAAAATTACAAAGATCACAAAATAATTACATCTCTTCAAAATTATTTTCTCTCGTATTTATAAAAGTTAAGACATATTTCATATTTATAGGGACAATATTTTAGTAAAAAAAAATTGTGTCAATTTTATTGATCAATCCAACTTGTTCTTCTCTAATTTTGTTTAACCGGCGACGGCACCGGTTTTGATGCTGGTTGTCGTCCGCCGGTTGTCTTTTTTCTTTATTTTTTAGTTTTTAATAAGAATAATTATGTATTTATGATATGTTATCTGACTTTATGACACGTTTATCTATGCATTTGTAGCATATTTTTCTGTCTTTTGGTAGTTTATAGTGTGTCTTTATTTTCGTTAATCTTTTTTTCTCAGGGTTAGATTTGACACCTTCATTACTGATCAAGATGACACTTATTTGTTATCATGTTGATCTTCCATGCTTTGGACCCTCAGATTGATTTGGATACACGTTTTGTGTTCGTGGATAATTTTCTCATATCGCTTGACTTTGATTTGCGATTTGTCGGTGGCATTCAATAGCTTCATCCTCTTTTGTGGTTCGTTTGCTGATGCAGTCAGATTTGTTCGTATCTTTATTTTGTTCGAACATTGGTTAGATTTTTTAATCTTTTCTTTTTTTGGTCATTGTGTGATCTAGGTGACTAGCTTTTGTGTTAATGGTTATAGGAAAATGTCCTAATTATAATTTAGTTTACGTTTACGGTTTTGATGCTGGTTGTCGCCCGCAGGTTGTCTTTTTTCTTTGTTTTTTTAGTTTTGAATAAGAATAATTATGCCTTTGTGACATGTTCTCTTCCTTTGTGACATGTTCTCTTCCTTTATGTCACGCTTATCTCTGCCTTTGTGGCATGTTTTTCTTTGCCTTTTGGTAGTTTACTATTTTTTTGCCGTTGTTTTTGTTTATCGTTTTTTCTCAGGGTTGGATTTGACATCGCCACGACTGATTAAGATGACGCTTATTTGTTATCATACTGGTCTTCCCTGCTTTGGACCCTCGGATTGATTTGGGCACATGTTTTGCGTTCGTGGATAGTTTTTCCATGTCGCTTCACTCTTATTTACGATTTGTCGGTGACCTTCATTAGCTTCATCCCCTTTAGTGGTTCGTTTGCCGATACAGTCAGATTTGTTCGTATTTTTATTTTGGTTGAGCATTGGTTAGATTTTTTAATCTTTTTTTTTGTCATTGTGTGATATAAGTGGCTAGTTTTTGTATCAATGGCTATAAGAAAATGTCCTAATTATAATTTAGTTTACGTTTACTTTTATAGTTGTAAATCTTTATTGTAATTATGGATATTTTCTATCTTTAATAAAACTAGTTGCTTTCTATCAAAAATAAAGATTTATTGCAAAAAAATAAGTATTTACTTATTAATGCCTTAACATATTTTGTTATAATTCTTAAATTAAAATCCTCTTTGTCAATGCCTTAACATGGATAAGTTTGAATGGTTTAGATTTCCTTGTAGATAAACCTAAGTTATTCCAAGAGCTATGGCTCAAAGAAATATAGATTAATCTAAAACTTATAATATAATAATATTATAAATAAAACTTATGATATAAGTTAATTTTTTAATGTTTTTATTTTTAAATAATATTAATGATAAACTTACCATTTTGTCTTAGTTTTAAAGAATTAGACAGATTTTAGGTTGAATTTTTAGTTCAAAATATCTTCGGATAAAATAAACATCAAATTCATGTTTAGGAAATAAAAATATGTGAATTAATTTTATTTTTGAACTCAACTGTTGTCAACAACACTTGACAATGAAAACTTTTAACAGAACTTAAGAATCAAATTCATATTTTATCTAAAGTTTAAAATTAATTTTTTTTTATTAACATGTCCACGTTAACAAATTAATTAAAGTTAACAATTTAATGATTAAAATAAAATATCGTAAAAATGAAAGCCATCAAAACATAAATTTTCAAAACATAGAGAGAAGAACAAATTTTCCCCAATAATGATCTTGGATTCAAATCATTATATTTACTTTGGTTAAAAAAAACAGCAGCTTAGATTCGAATCAGGGTGTTTTATTGTGAACTATAATTCAACAACAAAATCCGGGAATCAAGATACCCCCTTTAGGCAAATGAAAGAAAAAATACTAAACTTTATGAAATAATTCTGTTTATTGACAGACAAAGCCCGCAGAGGGAAGGGAAACTACAAAGTCCCCGTCATTATTGGGGAAAATTCAGCTATTTATTATAGCTTTATTTGCATCTCATGGCAGGAAAAACTTGGACTGGCTGAGGCTCCCATCCAATGCGTTTATTGCTTAATCAAGTTTCTGATAACGTATGGGAGTATACCACCATTGTTGAAGTATGCCAATTCAACCTGCAACACCAAACCCACAATATTCAGCTTTGCTATCACACAACAGCAGGTGACCAGACACATGTATGCTGCTGCACATAACAAAGGAGTAGTTCAACCCATTTATTACCTCAGTATCGAAGCGCACGGTGCAGGTGAAAGACTTCCCATTGTCCGTCGTGACGGTCACGTCTTGGCCGGGCCTTATATCGCTTATTTTGCTTGGGAGATCTATTGTGTAACGCTCGCGTCCGGTCAAACCTAGAGTGTCTGCGTCCTCGCCGGACTTGAAACAAAGCGGAATGATGCCCATTCCTACCAAATTGCTGCGATGGATTCTCTCAAAACTTTTGGCAATCACTGCTTTTACTCCCTGTCATATAGCAAGGTTACCGAGTACAACCAAGGAGTAAAGACCAACATGAATTCTTTATCCTGGTGAAATCAAGACTTACCAACAGCATCGGACCTTTCGCAGCCCAGTCTCGGGAGCTACCACTTCCATATTCTGCTCCAGCCAAAACAATGGTGTCATGCCCTGCATTCTTGTACCTCTGAAATAACGGATTTATTGTCAAGCTTAGTATTGAATATTTAGTCAATTTCACCGCAGCTAAAGATAGTTATCATCTTGCCTAATACCAACTAAAAATAAATGAAAAAATAAAGATTGTAAAATTGGCAACAACTTGATAGTTTACTTTTCCTTGTAAAAGGATTTTCTGTAATGAAAAATGGAAAGTGACAAGCAGTGGTAAGGGATCAAGACTCGTTTCTATTAAAATAACAGTTGGTTAAAATTGAATAACTCACCATTGCTGCATCAAATACATATAGTTTCTCCCCTGTGGGGACGTGTACTGTCTTTGGGCCAACTTCCCCATTCAACAGCTTGTTCACAAGTCGAATGTTAGCAAAAGTTCCCCGAGCCATCACCTCATCATTACCACGACGACTTCCATAAGAATTGAAGTCCTTGCACTCCACACCACGTTCAAGTAGGAATTTGGCAGCAGGACTGTCCTTATGGATGCTTCCAGCTGGAGAAATGTGATCTGTTGTGATACTGTCACCAAAGTTCAGTAAACAGTAGGCATCCTTAACGCCATGGGCTCCAGGAGGCTCCATGGTCATATTCTTGAAGTATGGAGGCTCATGAATGTAGGTTGAGTTGGGGTCCCATGAGTATAAGGTGGAAGAAGGCACTGATAGTTGATTCCACGTGGGATTTCCCTTTGTAATAGCCTGGTAAGTACTTCTGAACATATCTGGCAAGACACTGGATTGAACAGCCTAGATAGCAGAGAAGCTCAAGCTAATTTATTTCATGCTTTAAGAACATGAAAGTTGAGATAATATACAAACTTAGGGGTGTCTACCTCTGCAACTTCTCTAGTAGATGGCCAGATGTCCTTAAAAAAGATGCTCTTACCATCCTTCCCAGTTCCAATTGGCTCCTTATCGAAGTCAATATCAACCTGAAAAATGGTAACAGTAATTCATTGATCATCACAAATACACTGCCAAAGCAATTACTCTTGTAAGAAAGCTTCGAGAGAGAATAAATCCAAATGCACAAGACACAGGGTATTCTGGACTATATAACGAGAACATAAACCTTAGTACTACTAAATAAAGAGATATTACATACCGTGCCAGCCAGGGCATAGGCAACCACTAAAGGCGGTGAAGCAAGGTAGTTGGCTCTTGTCAAGGCGTGAACACGACCCTCAAAATTACGATTTCCGGAAAGCACAGCAGCTGCTATAATGTCTGTAAAATATTAAAATTAATATATATTAGTAAGCATTAAACTTGGGTTGGGAATATGATTAACTTGTTAATGCAACACTAGTGTATTTACTTGCTTTCATCATGTATATGGATCCAACAAAAGTTTAACAGTAAAAAATTTTACTGGTACCATTTTCTGAAATAGCGGAGGCAACTGATTCATCCAATTCCCCAGAGTTTCCAATACAAGTTGTACAACCATATCCAACAATATGGAAACCCTGCTTATTCAAATATTCTTGCAGCCCACTTCACAAAATAAACAAAAATTGATTAAAAAATTGTCATAATTATAAATATATTTATAAAAAATTATTCACTCCAAGTTCACTTTAGATACAAATGGAAGTATAGGAAATACCTCTGCAATAGATATTTTGTGACAACCCCTGAACCTGGTGCAAGGCTAGTCTTTATCCAAGGCTTGACCTAGAACAATTATTTAAACACTCATTTATGCTCCAATAATACTATAGTTCAAGGAAAGGTAAGGAAGACTGAATATACCCAAGCGAATTTCCCTTTTAATAAGAATAATAATTTTAAAAACAAAGGTGGGTTTGGATTAGGAAGATAGGAAAGGAAAAAGAAATGAAAAAAAAAATTAGGAGATATTGAAAGCACAGATACATGCCATACCTGCAAACCGAGTTCAGAAGCCTTTTTTGCAACAAGACCAGCCCCAAGCATGACACTAGGGTTTGATGTATTGGTGCAGCTCGTAATTGCAGCAATCACAACACTGCCGTGCCTAAGCTCTGCTGGCTGCCCTTGGAATGAAAAATTTGCCACTTTTCCATGTGCCTCTTCTGGCACAGCAAAGCCCTACAACATGGTAACACATTCAGCAGAATGTTTAAAAGTTTTACAGAAGTGGACCATTCCATAAATTTACAGATTGAAGGAGAGAAGTTCTGATCAATCCTTCATACGTAATTTTATTAGCTATCCTTTATTTTTAATCCTTGTGGTATTATGCTTGAGTCAGCAGATTTTAGGAAAAGTAGTATACGGGTTAAGTTCTAAAAAGCTAAGAGAGGTTTGAACGTCTATAAACAGAGAAGATTTTGAACAAATTAGAAGTCAAGGATGCTTTCTTGTTCTATGTCAGATTCATCATAGGATGTTAATCCATTACTAGTTCCATGACAAATATGGCCATCATCTTATCTGGAAAATATGTCATGTTCAGCACACATGCACATTGTTACATTCTTCTCCAATTAACCCACGGAAAGTTAATGAAACAAATTATCAATTGATTGATAGAACATAATTTTTAATTAAAAGAAGAAAACGTTCACTAATGAGGACATAGATGACAAGATCTAAGAAATGCAGCAAATACAAGCCTCACCTTGAAACCAACTTTATTATTGAGACAAGATTTCCAATCAGACTTCATTTCTTTTAAAGGAACCCGATCATGAGGTCTGAAAAGAATAGAAGCGGTAATATCATATTAGTATAATACATTATATTTAATATATATACATAAATGCTAAAGAAAAATATAGAAATCTAAATGCTTAACAAAAAATTTGAAACAGCAGCAGAAAAGACAAACCTCTTTGGTCCTGAAATACAGGGTTCAACTTCAGCAAGGTTTAATTCTAGATATGATGAGTACACTCTGTCTTGTTGGGGCTGAACATATCAAGATTAGGGTTGGGAGGAAAACACAAGTAGAAAAGAATGAAATTAGACTAGGTTTATTAAAATACAATCAGAACAGCTGGAAAGTGAGAAGTTTATAGGAAAAAAAGTAAAAATGAATAAGGCAGAAAAGTTCTTGCCTCATTATAGTCAACAAACATTTTATTTGCTCGAAGATATGATTCTATCATTGCCACCTGAATTAAAGGACAAGGAAGTCACCTAGTTATTCAATAATTTTAGATAGAAAGCAACTGTAATGAAGTAGAATTCTCACAGTTTCATCACTTCTGCCAGTCAACTTGAGATACTGCAGAGTAACATGATCTACAGGGAAGAATCCCATGGTTGCACCGTACTCAGGAGACATATTAGCAATGGTAGCCCTGTCAGCCAGGGACAGTTCACTCATACCACCCCCTACAAATCGGTACAAAATAAAAAACGTACATAAAGAATTAGAGAGCCAGACAGTAACTTCAAACCAGCACCGTGAAAAGTATTACCATAAAACTCAACAAATTTGCCAACAACACCATGCTTCCTCAGAATTTGTGTAGCAGTTAGAACCAAGTCTGTAGCAGTGACACCATTTCTTAATTTTCCGGATAACTTAAATCCAACAACACCAGGTAAAACCATGCTCATAGGCTGTCAATTTTCAAAAATGGATTTAACTTTAGAAAACACAAGTGATAGAGATGTAAACTCCAGCTAATGAATGAGACAATAACAGTCCCCCTAAAAGAAAGTAAAAATGAGAACTGTTGGATGGTTTACAGGATTAGAATTATTCCTCCATTTATTGAACAAAATATCATCTTATTTTATTAGAATCTTCAATCAAATAGCAACTGAAACTAGTGAAAAAACAGCCGCTTGATAAATGCTGCAAACAAGAAATGCAAGACTCATAAACTACCATGCAAATACTTCAGATTCAGCAAAGATTTTCATGCTCACTTGTAACTTTAATTTTAGCATGTGGAATAGAAACGTGAAATTGCAATGCATTCAATAGAAAAGACCCATTTTCTACTCATCATTGTGTTACAGACTTTAATTAGCAACAACTGAAATCATCAAGAACCAAAGTTAGAGCTATTGCAGTAAAAGAATTGGGATCGGTCCATGAGAATACGGACCTGACCAAGCATGGCTGCCTCAGCTTCAATACCTCCAACTCCCCAACCAGCTACTCCTAACCCATCTATCATAGTTGTATGGGAATCAGTTCCAACCACACTATCAGGGTACAGCACGCCATCAGTGTTGAACACAACCCGTCCAAGATATTCAAGATTAACCTAAAATTTTAGGGTGTTAATTCGCCACCATGTTCACACAGATAAAGTATCCAAGAAAATTTTAAAGTAATGAAAAATGTAAGCTTATCATCACTCTGTAAAATATTTGCCACGTATAAAATCAGTGAGGATAACTTGACTATATTGTCTAAAGTGTTTATTGCATATTGTGCTCTATTTCCACAGTATACCTGATGTACAATACCAGATCCAGGAGGAACAACAAGCATATTATGGAAGGCATTGGATCCCCATTTAAGGAAAGAAAACCTTTCCTTGTTCCTCTGAAATTCAAGCTCCATGTTTGCTTGCACTGCATTTTCTGATCTTGTTACATCAACTTGAACTGAATGATCAATGACAAGATCTACTTTAACCTGAATACAAGATATTTTCAGCAACAAACTCTATGGATAGATTAAAAAAATGAAAATTAGTCCACAATAGCCAGGAACTTTGCAGAGGACATTTGACACGCAAAAATGCTAATTATTGAACCAATACCAATTATAAATCTGAAGGAAGATATCTCACACTGATAACATATGAAAAAAATCAGTTAATGATGCTTTCCTACTAAAAAGCATATTTATATGACATGTAAAAATTTCTCAAGATCCACAACATTATTAAGAAAACTTTTTTGAAAGATTACAATTTAACCTATAGCTTCCAGCAACTGACTATCCCTCGCAAAATAGAAACAGTTGGCAACATTTCAGTATTATCATTACAGAAAACATTTGTGCTAATGGCATAAAAAAGCGTACCAAAGGATTAATCTTTTTTGAATCATTGCCAAGCTTGTTCATAGCATCACGCATGCAAGCAAGGTCGACAACAGCTGGCACCCCAGTAAAATCCTGGCGACAAAACATAATGGATTAAATATAAAGCAATTCATCATGTGTTCCTCTTAGTAGAGACTATATATGTATCTAGAAGATTTATAAAACACCTGTAATAGAACACGAGCAGGCTTGAAGGGGATTTCAACTTGCTTTGGCGAAGTATTTTCCCAATCAATAATTTTCTCAACATCTTCTTTCTTCACTTGGAAGTTATCACAATTACGAACAGCAGATTCAAGCAGGATTCTGATAGAGTATGGTAGTTTGTCTATTACATATACAGCAGAAGCAAGGGACAGATACAATCAGTCGCACAACTAATAGAAACTAGTAAGCTGGACAAAGGCATGAGGCAGTATATCCATAATCCAACCAAGTCATCAAGTGAATATATTTTGTATACTAAATATAGTTGTACGAGAAAATTACCTATCCTTGGATCATTAAGGGCAGGCAAGCTATAGAACTTTCCAAACTCGCCACCTCCTGGCTTGGGAAGACTCGTTAACACCGACTTAAAAGGATGTTCACCAGCTGAAAACCATAAACATAAACAGATTAAATAAATTTAAATTTAATTGCCAATTTTTTAAACTACTAAAAACAATTAAAATCTAGGGGATCCGTTTTCACAATCATTATGCTGAATTCAAAATGACGGTATCTTTTCGATCCTGCAATCAATCATGATACATATTTAATTATGATTCGGTAAAAAATAATTAAAATTTTAAATCAGAGGCATTTCATTAACTTTAAGCTGGCAGAAAATTTGACTGAGAGTGAGAGACAAATAAAATGTATAATGAAGCTAAAATCAGATTGAAAGCAAGGCAAAAGGGAGAAGCTCCGAACGCATTGGAGAGAGCAGTACCCATAGAAGAGAACTTCCTCTGAAACCGTTCGATGATAGGATGAAAGGCTCTGATCTGAGCACGGAGGCTAAGAGGAGATCTACAATCGAGACGGTGGCTCCACCTCGAGGGAGAGCAATGAAAGGAACGAACGGCGGCGGAGGCAACAGATCGGTGGCTTCTGTTAACAAGAGAAGGATTGAGATTCCTTAACGAAGAAGGAAAAAAGCGAGTACGAGTGTAGGAGGAAAGCGCTCCTCTTAAGAGAGAAGCGGCCGAGGAAGAGGCCGAAATAGGCATGACGTCGAGAGATCAAATGGATCACACAAATAAATGAACACGCATTCACTCAAACGATAATGGCAGTAATGATTAAGCAGAAGATAAGGAATTCAGTGACAGTAGCAATCTAACAGAAATTCATGGCCCTTTGAAAATATTGTTAAAAATGGATTTGAAAGAGAAAGGGGCGTGTGGAAAGGGGGGGGTAGTGGAATGAGGAAAGAGCATAGGGCAGCGTGCCCGCTTTCTAGAATTCCAGTGATCAATTCATGCTAACCGGTCTACGGTTTATATGTTTTACTACCAATTATGTTCTGCCGCGTGGGTATTTTTTTTGGGGGCTATGTTTACTCGTGATGGATCTGAGTCCGAGAAAGCCGAATTGGCCACAATCCTGAAATTGAATTGGCATATTTGATCGAACTTTTTGCCTTTATTCCCGATTTATTCTTCAAATTAGATTTTTTTTTCATTTAATGTTAGTTTTTGGATTTATTTTAGGGTAAATTATACCCTTGGCCATATAACTATTTTGTCTATTTACTTTATCATCTATCTTTTAATTTTGTCAATCATACTACTTAACTATTTGATTGCAGTCAATCAAACCACTAGACGTTAATAGTTGACGGAATTACTGACGTGGCAATTAAATACTTTGGTATAATTATATATCTGGTCCCTTTTTTTAATCTTTATTTTTAACAAATTAAAATAATTTAAACAATACCATTCGATTGGATGATTAAATTTATTTTAATTTATTAAAACAAGACTAAATTTAAAGAATAAGTAAATAATAAGGATCATATGTAATACCCCAATTTAGGGGCTAAAATTAAGAAATTATAAAGTGGTGGATTTAATTTGGTATTTTGAAAGAAATAGTGGGTTAAATTGCAAAATTTTAAAGTTGGCATACCGTTTTATAAAGTGCAGGAAACTCAGTAACTAAACTCATGGTTTACCCATTTTTATTATGAGTTGAATTATAAACCCCTCCCCATGCGCAGGTTCTCATTTTTCCAGTTTTCCCTTCTCCAACAACCCTCCTTTTAACTCCGATCTACTCGTCGTCCGACCTCCGATCGACGAGCTGAAACCACCATCGTGTTCGTTGTCAACCGAGGAATAAAACCCCTCAAACCTTTCGTCATGAATCGTCGTCGTTCGTCGTTAATTTCAGTCGGAAGTATCATCGGTAATAACCAGATTTCAGTTGGTTTTTCATCGATTCACGACGATCCGAGCATCTGTTTACGACACCTCCCACACCATCGTGTTCCTTATTCCGTTCCAAGTCTGCCGGTGTCATCCTTGGTCTCCGCAGAAGGCGGCGCGTGAGGAGGTGAAGCTGTAAACGTTTTCGATTTGTTGAAATCGAGCTCTCCGCCGTTCAAAATTGTGAACCGAGCTTTGTAAGTATCTCGAAATCGCTCAAAATAATTTTTAGGAATTTTTCCAGGAATTTAACACTGTTCACGCACCACCACGCGCCTCCACTACGCGTGGGGAAAGAAAAGTAACCGGTTTGACCGGTTTTGGAAATGTTTTGACCGGTCACAACCCGACCTGATCCGTTGACCCGACCCGATCCGTTGACCGTTGATTGTTGATCGGCGTTGACTACTGTTGACTGGCTTTGACCGGGCATTAAACGACCTTTGACTTTGACCGAGTATACCTATCCTGACATTTTTTGACGTTCCAAATCCAATTCCGCTATTCATTTTTCAAAATTCGAACCCGAAGACCTCGAAATTACCAGTCAAACCCGTTGACTTTGATTTTGACCGAAAATTCTAAATTTCCGAAAAGTCATGTTTTATGCTTTCGACATCTTGAATCCGAATCCGAAGTCTGTTTCGCCAAATTCGAACCCGGTAAGCTATTTTTCACTGATTTATCATCCGATTCGATCCGATTTTCATAATTAAGCTCCTTTTTTTATATAATTTATGTTGATATGTATCTGAGGAATTATTGGAAGTTGAATTGAAGATCAAAGGCGTTCGAATGGAATTTTTATGGTCGATCAGTATTGCACGAAAATCGAGGTAATACTTTATTACCTCTTTATGCTTTATGGAACATGTTTATATTGATAAATGCATGAACAAGATAATGTTGGTCACTTTGGTGGAGTTGAATAATTTATACACTCGATATGATGTGGTAGAAATTCTGTAACTGATTACGGATTGAATGACTAATATAAGAGATTGAGGAATTGTTAGATTAAATTACAAGTTTGTGATTAGTAATAAAGAAATCAGCCATATATCTGGAACTTATAATTTATTTCATCAAAGGTTAAATGTTAAAGGTACTTGGATGAGAAATTATGAGAATACTCCGGTAGGGTAAAATTACGAAAATACTCTTATTTTATAAAAAGACAAGATTTAAATATGGAAGTTAGATAAGAAGATTTTACAGACATATTGATCTGATAAAAATATTGATGTGCATAAGAAATGTTAGTTTTATTTGAAAATTATGGATAACCGGTTTTAATCCTAGGAGAGTTTGTGAATGATACTAGAAGTCTGTTAAGAGAACCGTTTCAAGATCAGAGAGTGTTCAAGACAACAATTAATCATAGGATCTCTAAATTATATTATTTTCGTTAAGAGCTAATATCGAAATCATCTGGTTAAGAAATTACAGAAATGCCCTTGAAAGGTAAAATAGTCTGAGTTGACCCTGAATGAGAAAATACTTTGAGGATTTGTACTTAACTCGATTAAGTACGGATTTGATTGTTAAGATCCTGACTTAGTGCAGGAAAATTCCTGATATTCCGTTTGTAAAATCTGAGAAGCCACTTGACCCGGAAATATCCGAGTTATGAGTAAATACCTGAAGAACAATTTGTCAGGGGTGTTCTGTTGTCAGAATTGTTTGAAATGACTAAAATAAATGATAAGATTGAATTTAATAGTAAGATCGGACGGAAGGAAAGGATTGAAATACACTGTTGTAAAATGACCAAAATACCCCTATAATGGAAATGACCCAAGAATGCCACCAAGCTCAAGAATGATTGGATATCTTCGAGCTCTGAAATAAATGGAATAAAAATGAACACCCAAATACCCTTGTGTCATATTCTAAGTAAATGTCTTGGATTAGTTAAGGAATCCAAAAAAGCATAGGTATTGGACTACCTTTAAAAAGTTATGGAACACAGCTGAAGTAAGTCGATCAACTTTAATGATATGTCAGTGCCTGAACGACATAGATATTACTTGAATGTGTGTTCGCCTATTCAAGTTTAGCTCGATGATAATTTTGGAAGTATTCTGCTCAGCTCAACTCTAGATCGCATTCAGTATTAAGAATTGGACGTTTGTTCGATAAATCAACCAAGAAGACCAAATTGAATGGATCTGAAGTACAATATATATCTGAAATACAGGAACGTTGTATTACTCTGGAAAATCCCGAAGTAACTGGAATGACTTGAATGCTAAATGAACTAAGTAACTTCAGTGATTGAGGATTAAGTAAGTGATTAGGTTAAGCCTGGAAATTCGAATGAATTTACATTATGTATCGTCCTTATGGAACATGAACTAAAAATCAAGCACGTCAGTATTTCATGATATAGTGGAACCTTGGAAATGAAATAAAGACCATTGGAATATCTATTCAGCGATGATTCTGAAGATTATCTATGGACAAGAATTTGTGGTATTAAAGAGTAAATACCCTAGAAGGAAAATGAATTGACCAGTCGACATAGATTGTTAAGGTTCTGAATCTTCGTTCTCAAGTTGTTCGATTATCCGATCAATTGACATGGATGTAAAGGATTCTGAATACTCTTCTAATTACGTACAGCTTCTGAAAATTGTCCGAATAAGATATGATCCTGATAATTCACATTCTGAATAACTGATGATTCTGTCATTTAATGAACTCTTCCAATAGTGATTCTAAATTCCAACATTCTATCGACATACTAAAGATTTGTGTTCCTCTACTTGTTAAGATTATCTAATATCTTTGAATACTATCTGTAAATTCTGGTGTGTTCACATGAATATTTTACCTGATTTTTTATTTGATTACTGATCTGATACTTGACATGGATTCTGATCTGATATCTGACATGGATTCTGATCTAATACTTGACTTGGATTCTGATCGAATACTTGACCTGGATTTTGATATGATACTTGACCTGGATTATGTTTTGATTTTTGATATGTTCGTTTATGGACGGAACATGTTTTATTTGGGGGGTAATGTTGGAGGAAGTATACCTGGAGGTTCCTCGGCTGTGTGCTCAGGACCTTACTTACCGACTCCTCGGCTGTGTGCTCAGGGACATACTGGACTTGTCGGTGGGTGTATGGTTTTGGGGAACCTACACATTCTGATGTGATGGGATGGGGGTATATATATATATATATATATATATTAAAAGATCTGTATCTTTTTACTGGTTTTATGTGAACACACTAGATAACCTATTCTGATCTCTTGAACTCAGTCATCCGAAATATTTGTCTGAACCGAAAGCTCATTGTCCGTTACCATCTGAAATATCAGTAGGATCTCTGCTCAGCATAAAAATTTGTAAATGTTCGGAAATAATAAGGATATGTATGTTTATCTATATCTGCACGTTCTTCATCATCATCTGGTAGTTTTGTATTACTGAGCTTTCTAAAGCTCACTCAATTACTCATCTTTGCAGGTTAAAAGAATCGTACCAGTATATCTATCGACTTCAGTAAATGAGTTCTTCCAGCATTGTTGCAGAGTATGGTACATGTGATTAGGGGCATGTAATTGTATTTTGTTTTATATACGAGTCTGAAAATCTGTTTTATTTTTAAATAGTGACAACTGATTTTATTAGTTTATATGTACTGATAAAAAAAGTTTTAAATTTTCTGCTATGTTTACAGTGGGTAGCTCCGGTGGCCCAAATGTGACACCCCGGATCGGATCTGGTTCCACTAAATCTAAATGTAACCCCCCAAACCGATGTGGGTAACCAGATCCGATCCGGGGTGTCACATTTGGGCCACCGGAGCGACCCACTGTAAAAATAGCAGAAAATTTAAAACTTTTTTTATCAGTACATGTAAACTAATAAAATCAGTTGTCGCTATTTAAAAATAAAACAGATTTTCAGACTCGTATATAAAACAAAATACAATTACATGCCCC